TTTGCACATGGATTGAAAATTTTAAAGGGTAGGTTATGTCGCATAGGATCGTTCTAAATTCATATAGTAAGTTAATAGTGTAAAATAATCTTCATAATTTTAAAAGAATTATATATATATAATAAGCATTATAACCAGTAATATTACTGAGATAACTTTAAACGACGTGTGGAATACAACTGTGACAGCCTCTTAGTTACAGTGTTTTGTAGTTAAGCAGCAGAAAACGTGAAATTGACACCGTAAAACATATAGAACATAGAGGAAAAACACATAATACACATGATTTTCTTACTGTAATAAACACTTTTTATTTTACTGAGAACTGTTAACAAGATATCACATTTTATACACTGGTAGATGGATGGTGAGACTTTGCGTTTTTACCTAAGCAACGCTTCGTTTTTGAAAACGAAATACATTAAAGCATTGTTCACACACCATGTATATATTTTTTGATTTCTGTTTGAAACCAGTTTTATTTAGCACTGTCTACAGTAGGGAAGCGAACTCTGCCATAGTGTTTGAAACACCGGTTGAATAAGGATTAGCAAAAATTTCCCTTAGGTTGTAGGAAACCTGTAATACTTGGAATTTTCGGTCTGTCATCTAGGGAAAAAAAAAACAAAAACGTGTTCTGGCAATGAGCCATACGGTATATCCCTTTACTTGCGCGTTTTGTTTACGTGTTCTCCTGTAAGACATATTCATGCTGGCAACATCAGAAAAAGAGTAAACTTTGATATTACTATTCACGTGTTTTAGAAATGAACCAAACAATATATTCTTTTCCACACATGTAAGATATTTGAGTTGGCAATGTCTGATGTTGACCACGATAACTTGCCAGTGGTTATGGTTGTGCTCAGAAGAGAGAAAGATTGGACGATAATAGCGTCAACCAGAGTTTATCTTGATTCAGATGTCGAAGATTGCACTTCTAGGTTATACGTAAAAAAAAAAAAGAGAAATAAAAAGAGTTTTTTTTTGTTTTTGTTAAAGCTACACAATGGATTATCTGTGCTGTGCCCATCACGAATATTGAAACCCGGTTTTTAGCGGCGTGAGCCTTCAGACTTGCCGCTGAGCCACCGAAGGGCAATAAAAAGAGAAAGGCTTAGTTTTAATTGTTTTAGATCATAACTTCAATAACCCTATTAAGTAAAAACACATTGAAAAAAATCTTAATGTTTCATGATTAGATTGTTTTTATTTTGATCGCTATCTGTGCTCTGCAACCGCTGGTATCGAAATCCAACTGTTACCGTATAAACCCTCAGACTTATGGCTGAGCCACCGGGAACGTTTACAATTGGAAAATTAGTGTCAAGAATCTACTTAAAATTCGTTTATAATGATGTCATATAAACAGGAGGTTCTCAAACCATGAAGCGGGAGTACCCCAGAGGAGTTGCTAACTGCGTGTCAGTTTTGTTTTTAAGAAACGATTTTTGATGTAAAAAGAAAATATTGTTATAAATTATTTTCAACATCCAATCAGAACAAGCTAATTAGTTAGAGAATAGGTATTGGCTTACTCATAAAACAGAAGAGCTCTATCAACAACAAGCTAATCTTTTTGATCCTTGAGCGGATCATGTAACCCCAGCGTCAAAAATAACCAAAATAAAAAAATATCGCAAACAACTTTTGTTTGGCTTGCCAGGTGATATTTTTTTAGCAACCGTGACACCACTTATATTGCGTGGTTTTCCTGCGCAATCTATCAAATCGTAAACTATGGGGGGAAGGTGCAATTTTCCTTAACTTATGGAAACTCTGTCTGACAAGGTTTGAAAATTACTGATATAGATGAATCATACTGGATAGAATGAACCGGAAAAGCTAAAAAATAACAAAAAAACTAATGACTAATTATAGCTATTAGCGTAGGACGGTATTATTAGTGTATAGATGAATATGCTGCTATGAAACGTGATAAGAAAATAAGAACAGAAGCCGAATTCAAGGATTCTCCGTTTATTCTTTACTTGTCTTCCAACTATAGGGTTGCCCCCAGTGGCACAGCGGTATGTCTGCGGACTTACAACGCTAGAAACCGGGTTTCGATACCCGTGGTGGGCAAAGCACAGATAGTCCTTTGTGTAGCTTTGTGCTTAATTACAAACAAACAAACTATAGGGTTATTAAATCATGCGCCTTAGTTAAGGAAAACGTTGTATCGGTTGAAGCTGCCGCCCTTGAAGGTCAGACTTAAACCTTTAACCAAAAAAAAAAAAAATACGGGTGTGTGGATGAAAACGTTAAAAAAAAACTTGATCTTAAAAGCCCGTCATACAACGTCTCTTACTGTATAAGAAACACGACACTGTGATGTAGGGAACACCTTTGTAAAGTAAGCTATATTTCACATTTTTTAGCTTGCGTTAGAAACTCATACGCCCTTTCAAGCGACTGCTTTAGCATATAAAGAGACAGCTGTCTGCTAAGGCTAATAAAACTTGGAGAATAGTTTTCTTTTTAAGCAGAAGTTCCGGTTCATTCGAGTGTGAAAAATTCCCCCCGTTATTGTTGACATTTCACCATGTAATCGCAATAAGTGTAACTTCATGACATAAGGAAAGCATTATGGTCACTTGAACTAAACTATTGTAATGAAATACCACTTTTTTGTATATCGTATATAGATTAAAATACAAGTAGAACAGATAGCTAAATATATTTCAAACCGTATTTTGTTTAGGCTTAAATGAGTCCTTCTACATTGTGAGATTCTCTGTGTTGTTCATCACATCAAAGGTCTTTGTTGTAAACGCTCCATTTAGCAAAATATTATTAATCTACAGATACTTTACTGAATTCACATATTGAAAGAATCTATAAAGTTTGAGTTATCCAGGCAATGGTCATACTGCTAAAAACTGGTCGTACATTCGAAAACACTGGAGACATCCTGTGGATGTACAAGTTGTTCCACTTTCTGAGATTGTATTGTTACAACTTAACTTTTGACTTTGAGAGTAACATTTGAATATATTATATATCACGGTTTTTAAATGTTTTCAAGTTATTGAGTGGTCAAAGTAACAAACAAATACAGACATTTTGGATGTTCCATTTTATGTGATTGCAACTCTTCATTTCTCAAAGCTTTGGCTACACTAATCGAATAGTTGGGTTTGACAGTCCATCTTATCTAACGTCCCCATGGTCCCAATATGCTGAGATTATGTTTAAGCTATAAGGGGACGCAAACCATGGACACTCGTATCCCCACAGCCCAGCCCACCTTGAATGTTAATAATTAAAAATTGCTAATAATCTGTTCATCTAACGCTAATTATTATATTCTTTCTTCTCTGTCCCTGGTGGATCAGTACTAAATTTACGGACTTACAGCATAAAATCCTGGATTTGATTGCCCCTGGTGGACAAAACGCAGATAGCCCATTGTACAGCTCGATGCTAATAAAACAAATTTCTTCTTTATTCAGAGATTTGAGCTTTTATGTGTTATGCAGATCTGAAATTCTGTTGTATAATTTCAAATATATTTAGATATCTGTTCTATTTGTATTTTAATCTATATACAATATACGAAAAACTGATACTTCGTTACAATAATTTTGTTTATGTAATAATGCTTTCCTTACGTCATAGAGTTGGAGATGGGTACTATTGACTAGCTGCTTTCGCTCTTGTCATTCAATTATCTGAATCAGTCAACCACCAACATTCAAGATACATAATATAGTTATGAAAACGTTCTAGTTAATAATACAATATTTACACTTTAGTTATTTATCTTCTAAACCTATCCACTTTTTTTTAGTTATTTGCACTCTAATTATTCACACATTATACCTGTTTACACTTTATCTACCTACATTCTGGTTATTCACACATTATACCTATTAATGTAGTTATTTACTTTTATATTAAAATAATTACTTTAAGGAATTTTTGATGATGCTACATTTTTTTTTATCGTGATAGGCCTTAATATTAAGGTTTCAAACTATTTCTGGTGAATATGGCATGAATAATATAAACACGACATTTGAAAATGCCCCGTTATCCTTACTTCTACAAATCCACTCTTTCTGTTTCTAAGAGCTCTAGTTGCGTCAAGTTTATTAAAATCAGTTCTCTGGAGAAGGTTCACATACCTGAAGTGTATTCACACTCATTGGTGAATAGATTTAGATTAATACAATGAACAAGTCACAGTTATCAGATTCCAAAAGTCACACGTAACCTAAAATAATTTACCAGTCAAGTAACAAGAGAATTTCAAGTATCACTGAGGTGTTACACATCAAACTGTCGTTTGTTCAAGCAATTTAAATTATTAATGGCCCCAGACGATTTAGCGATAAGTTTCAAGGCTTTTAACGCTAGAAATTGGAGGTTCGATCACAACAGTTTTGCGCGAATTCAATTATTAACACTTCCTATAATAGTTTAAAATATATAAGTTTTAATTACATGGTAACTATATGGTCTTACTACAAGTCGAATTTCTGTAGCAAAAACACAGTTTAAATACCTAACACATGTTGAAACTTTGATTCACACACATTGAAACCATTACCAGATTTGACAAACGTTTAAACGCAACAAAATATTTTTTGTGTTAAAAACTGGTTGCTTAATTATCCTGTTCAAATAATTCACACTCAAAAATACACACATGTATATAGATCTTCATGGTCTTTTAATTTATCTGCTTTTTTCTCATCTGCATAACATTCTTAGAAATTTAACACAGAAAATAATATTTCTCTACTTAGAATAGCATCAAAATGATAATAAAAATAAAGAAAAATCGAAAAATTAAATAAGTGCGGACTATATTAAAAACCTATTTGATTAAATGCAGAATATATAAAATGTCTAAATGGTTCCATATAGATCCAGGTGGCGTGAGAGGTGTCAGTTTTTAGATCAACTGGGTCAAACTTACTGAACGACTGAAATGAATTAAGGTTCCTTATAAACATGAAATAATAGTTCATACATACGCTATCACATCTTACCAAGATCATGGGACAGGGAGGCATGCTCGTTGAAACGGTGGTTAGTTGTGGATGTTCAGAAACGACGTTCTTGTTGCCCTCTCACGGTTCGCTGAGAAACCTGAATAATTACATCTTATTTAAGTCTGCATTATATATACCCCCTTCTTTTCACTTCGAATAGCTAAAAAGGTATACGCGTTCCATTGGGTGAGCAGACGAATTGAAACCTTCACATTTACATCGGTAGGTGGCTGACGTGAACTATCCTTGGGGTCAAGGTAAATAGCAAAGAAGCTGAGTAATTTTCCTTTCTTCATCCAGGAAAAAGGTTAAGAATACAAGGGTAAGACTGCTTTGTGTTATGTAACTTCACGTAATTTTACTTCTAAGGTATATTAGTACCATCATCGTTCATTATTAGCTCAATTCTGAAAATAGCTTTAGGGTTATAGATCGTAGCCGGAAGTAGCATTTTGAGGGAGAAGAAATAGAAACAAAATCTTACACAGAACCATCCAAAGAGCGTTTATGAAAAGCTAGTAATAAAATATACAGAGAAACAACAACAGAATAAATATGGAGAAACAGTAGCAACATCTATATAAAACCACCAAGAGTTATTATGTTGAGATAATCATAAAATCTATATAGAACCACCAACACAGTCATTATGAAGAGATACTAATAAAACCTACATAGATCGACCAACAAAGTCATTATGATGAAATGGTAATAAAATCTGCATAGAACCATCAAAGGATTTATTATGAGCTTTGATATATAAAATGAACAATTCATATAATATTTTGTTATGTAATTATTTTAATAATGACTTTATTATTTTAAAGGGCTTGCTGTTGAAATAGACATATACATAGATAAGAGATGCTTATTTGATATTCCGCTTTTCAGTCCATCATTTTCCTGACCATATTCTGATTTATTCTGCTACAACGAATTACCAAATGATTTCCATTGATCAGCTTACAGAAGCCTGGAAAATATAAATCAAAACAGCAATTTGTTGGTGTTTCAGCAGAAAGCTACACAATGAGCTATCTTCGCTGAGCCCACCTCTATATCGAACCCTGATGTTTAGTGTTAGAACCCTTCAAGCTTACTGTCAAGTCATCGGGATATATAATGGTAAACTTTGACCGATTAGTGGGATTTCACCTTCATTCTTATACTGCACTGATGGACTCAAAGTGTGAAGCAAGTTTTTGTGAAAAATGAGATGTGGACCATGAACCATTATGTTCCACTATTTGGATACGCTAACAACAGCTGGCCCATCTCACTAAAGATTTAGAACTTGGAATTTATAACTAATCAACAAAACAAGAAGAGTTACTCGGGAATAAATCAATGTTTTAGATGTTAGATATACTGTAAAACCTTCTTAACCCCTGTGAAAAACAAAAAACTGTTCACGACATTATTTGATTTTCTGTGTCTTTAATTGAATAAGAGTAATCATGATAGTATGGTTACATTGAGTCTGTGATTAACGTTCATGGTGGTTGGGATACTTAATCTGATGTTTAGTCGGTTTTAGACTTGCAGTCTAACACCGAGTTTGTGTTATTTCCATCCAAACCTGACTCTAGTCAAGGTTATATATAATCAACAACTATAAAATGGACAAACGAGCTTTTGAGTGTAGTTAAAAATATGCGTTTTATAAATTCTATAGAAACAACTAATACGTCACAGAGGTTTTACTAAATATTCTCATGATCAATGACATTATTTAAAATAATTTTTTTTTTTTATCAGTCGTTGTTATTGAACCTACCAAGAATGTAATTATTGTGCTCTGAATAGTCGTTCTTTCCCTTTCTTTTTTAAAACACGAAAAATTTGTTTCTCGTTGAACCAAAGTGACGATTATGTACGGGAGATGAAAGAAAAGCTAAGTTAATCAAGGCTCGTTAAAAAATTCATTTGTGTTAGTGTCTGTATGTTGTTTATTAACGAAGTGACGGATAGGGAGTAAGTTTGTTTAGACATAATGTTGAGTAATTAGTGAATGCGGAAGAGATATTGTTCTGCTAATATTTTAAAACAGGTCAGATTTATTAGACTAGTGCTTTTCTTATCAGATAACCCATATGACACGATTCAAATATAATTTACACGAAGCAGGCCAATAAGAATAGAAACACGCGGAATTAGGTTAATTTATTATGAAATATTTTACAAAGAAACAGTAACAGATGAGACTGAAATTACCCAATAAGAAATGACACCTTTCTTATTTACTCTTAGAAAAGAAATAGATCAAGAGATTAAAATACATGGCGGAAGAAAATACGAACAACGTGATTTATTTTTTATACTAATGTCATCCTAAAAGTAAACAAAAAAAGAATAAAAAGAGGGCAAATAACCAACGCTCTAATCAAATGTTGAGGTATTTGATTTGAACATTGAACTTTTTGATACAGTGTGCAAATTGATTATCAAAGGGAGTTATTTATACAAAAGATAATTCTTTATTTCGAATAATTTTTCTCATTTTTTCCCTTATTTCAATGAACATTCCAAGAGTATATTTAGTTTTAGCCTAAAAAGCATGAAGTCGAAGAACGTGAGGTATAGCATGTACTGAGATCATTTAAACTATTTTGAAAGTAGTTTGGTAAAGCGTTAGTTAATTATTAAAAAAAAAACTTTTAACGCTACACAGGATGAGACATTTAAAAATGTTTTAAGTGACCACAAAACATAAGTTACTGTTAGTTGATTTCTATATGACACTTTTAATGACGCATCTCTTTACGGTGTTTTAACGAAATCTAAGTGGTCGAAATCTAATCACATTTAATTCGTGTTTGTTCGAGTTATAATAATTTTTGGTGAGCAAAACAGGGTGTAGACTTTACAGTATTTTGTATGTGAAGAAATAATAACGTACATACAGTTTTTGATAGTATTGTTTATAAACTTATTTTTTATAAGACCTAAATATGAAAAATATTGTATTTTCTTATTGTTTTTTTAATATGTTAAGCAGATTGTAAGACAAACACAATAAAATTAGTTATATACAACAAAAAGCTTCAAAATTTCTTTTCTTATAAATTGTTTAGGACATTTCTAAATTTTGATAGTTTTTATTTGCCGTTTAATTAAAAAACTAAATAAACTATAGAATAATTAAGTGCTGATTTCTGATAGGGAAACGTGATTCCCTAAATTCTAAAAATGTTTGTGATTCACACATGACTACTTTAGTGCTAACTTGACATCAAAGGGGATAAGCACTGAGTGTCCAACTTACTTATTTTACTCAATATTAACCGTTTATTGTGTTAAGTGTGCTGAATGAATAAGACTGACAGGTTTTGTCTCATGACGTCTATAAACCTATTGTATGTTGTATAAACATATATATTTATTTACACATATTAAATAATTCCTTACATTAAAACATTTTACATAAAACATCAGGTCATTTGCATTCAAAACCAGAGCTTCACTGATTATGCACGTTTTTTTCTAAAGACTACACGGAAGTGAAGTGCTTATTACGTCTGGCTTTAATTCACCTCGATCATAAAGAAAGTTTCACACGTTAACAAAATTACACTTAAAAGAACAACAAAAAAGTTTATCTTACGTAAGATTTTTAAGACGTGACAGAACTAGGAACTGTTTCAATCTGCTGTTCTTCTGATGCTTGGAAACCAGACAACTGTTGTTGTTGTTGAAGAAACCTCTGAATGTCTTTCTCGTCAAGGCCACTAAGCGAATCCAACAGTTCCAGTGGAATAGCCACTGTATCTCCACTATTTTCTAGTTTGTATCCCTGATCCTGTGCGAACATCGATAGTCTTTCCAGTACTTCTGGGTTACGGAGGTCTACACCTTCAAGAGAAGGAAGTTGATCTATAGGGATGAAAACTGGAGAATCCTGTTCCTGTTGTACTTCGTTAATAGAGGGGAGTTGACGGGGATAATCTTCCTTAGAAGTTGAAGTAGTTTCAAATACATCACCAAAACTTTTATCGAGTCCTGTATTAAATTGACTGCCGTGCTTCGGAATTCCTTGGAAATCTATACTCTCGGAAAGCTCTGATCTTGCTAAGCTCTCACTTTTAGTACCAGCAACAAGTTTGGTATTGCTATCGTCACCTCTTTCTGGATAATAAGCTATGTCGACATTATTATCATTCTCACTGTTTGTTAAAGTGTGTTGAAAGTTATTAACATTTAGGGGTGAAGCACTTTGACTGTTAACAGGTCTAGTATTGAAAAAGGCTTGCTGCTTTGTTAGAGGTACAAAACCGCTATTGGTATATTCTTCATTACTAGAGAAACTAATAGGCTCAGGGATTGCAACAATGGGTTCGTTATCAGTGTTCCTCAAACCTTCTTCTGTACTATATCGAACTTTAGATGTCTGAATATTGGATGGAATATGATATTGTTGGTAATTAGGTTGCTCCGGGTCATAACTATTCTGAATCTTGGATAAATGTAGTTGACTTTCGCCATTATTTTCCTGAATTGTAGCCAGTTCTTCCTGATTTTGCACTAATTTTTTAACATTTTGATAAACATTTGGTTGTTTCTGACTAAGGCCTACCTGAGCTTGAGTTAAAGCTGCTATAGATGCATGAATTCGACCATAATCTGCCTGAGTTTGAGAATAAGGTAAAATATCTTCCTGAGTTTGACCATAACCTCCAGTTTTGGCTAATGCTAACTCATTTGCTTGGTTTTGACCTAAGATTGCTATATGTTTCTGTTTTCGGCCATTATCTTCTATACTTGGGTCTAAAATTACTAAATCTGCCTGATTATGACCATTATCTAACTGAGTTTGAGCTAAAGTAGCTATGTCAGGTTGAGTTTGGACATATTTTTCTTGAGCTTGAGCAAAGGATCCTACACTTGCCTGATTCTGACCATAACCTATCTGACTTGGGGTTAAAGCATGGACTTCAGGTTGAGTTTGACTATATCCTTTCTGAACTTGGACACTTGATCCTGTACTTTCCTGATTCTGACCATAGTCCCTCTGAGTTGGAGCTAAAGCAGCTATATCAGGTTGAATTTGAACACAATTTTCCGTAGTTTGGACAAAAGATCTTACATTTGCTTGATTTTGACCAT